TTGATCAGTCAAACGTTGTTTGAGCAGCAGAGCGCCAAAAGTGGCGTATTTTTTTTCAGTTTTTGACAATAGAAAAATTGTTTCCGTTTGCACAAACAAAGTGTGATTGGCACAAAACTTGAATCCATGGTTCAACTCTTGGGTCTAGGTCAATTGAAAGTTCAAATTTTGAAATTGGCTCTATAGCGCCACCTACAACAGCCAATTTAAAAATGCCTATGGGAGGGGTTCAAAGTCAAAATTGCCGTAGAACCATGTAATTTGGTACACATGTTCCTCAAGTCAAGACATGGAAAAAATGTTATTATGGCTAATCCCTCTGACAAACAGGAAGATCATAAATTTCACTGCAAAATGGAAAAATTAACAGCAAAAGTTTTCATACATGTCGGTTGGAAAGCGACTCCTCCTCGGCCGTTTCACCGATTCGCCTCAAAATCGCTCCACATCATCTCAACACATGTACCTTCAAAATGACCTCAGGGATTTTTGATCAGTGAAACATTGTTTGAGCAGCGGAGCGGAAAAATGTGACCTTTTTTTTTGCCGTTTTTGACAACATTAAATTTGCTCCCGTTTGCACAAACAAAGTCTGATTTGCACAAAACTTTAATACATTGTTCAACTCCAGGGTTTAGGTCAGGTGAAAGTGAAATATTTTAAATTGGCGCATTAGCGCCCCCTAAAGACTGTGTCAAAGTTTACATGGGGAGCCAAACCAGCTCTAGTTATCATATTCATTACGATTTGACTAACAATCTTCTATGGCTATGGGAACAAATCATCACACGGCGGTGCCACCTCCTTTTAGCGGTGCTGCGTGGTACGGTGTGGTGCGGCGTAGTGCGGGGCGTTGTGGAGCGGCGCGTTGCGGCTTGGTGCGGGGCGGCGTGGTGCAGGGCGGCGTGGTGCAGGGCGGCGTGGTGCAGGGCGGCGTGGTGCGGTGCGGGGAGTCGCGCGGTGCGGCGAGGGCCGTTCGACGCCGCTTGCGGCTTTAATTTATTTATTTCTTTCTTTTTTCTTCTGCACTTTGAGCCTTAATTTGACCCCCTGAACATGCATGAAAAGTTGTTAATTTTGGCCCAAAAATCAGACCTGGCGAAAAATTTGATATTTTGGTGTTTATTTTTATGGGACTCAAAAAATGACAGAACAGCGCCACCTACAACAGCCAAAATAATACCCCTATGGGACTTTTCGGAGGTCAAGTTTGTCGTAGAAACATGAGATTTGGTACACATGTTTCTCAAGTCAAGACAAGAAAAAAATATTATTATGGCTCCGCCCTCTGACAAACAGGAAGCCCATAAATTTCACTGCAAAATGGAAAAATGAACAGCAAAAGTTTTCATACATGTCGGTTGGAAAGCGACTCCTCCTCGGCCGTTTCACCGATTGGCCTCAAAATCGCTCCACATCATCTCAACACATGTACCTTCAAAATGACCTCAGGGATTTTTGATCAGTGAAACATTGTTCGAGCAGCGGAGCGGCAAAATGTGACCTTTTTTTGGCCGTTTTTGACAAGATTAAATTTGCTCCTGTTTGCACAAACAAAGTCTGATTAGCACAAAACTTTAATACATTGTTCAACTCTAGGGTCTAGGTCATTTGAAAGTGAAATAATTGAACTCGGCTCATTAGTGCCCCCTAGAGATGGGGTCAAAGTTTTTAGTATTGGAGCGTTTCAAGGTCAAGTTTGTCGTACAGGCATGAAATTTGGTACACATGTTCCTCATCTCAAGACATGAGATAAAAGTTATTATGGCCCCGCCCCCTGACAAACAGGAAGACCATAAATTTCACTTCAAAATGGACAAATGAAACATGGTCCTTTTCACAAGTGTCGGTTGGAAAGCGACTCCTCCTCGGCCGTTTCACCGATTTGTGTCAAAATCGCTCCACATCGTCTAAACACATGTACCATCAGTTTGATTTCACAGACTTTTGATCAGTAAAATGTTGTTTGAGCAGCGGAGCGCCAAAAAGTGGCGTATTTTTTTTCCATTTTTGACAATAGAAAAATTGCTTCCGTTTGGGCAAACAAAGTCTGGTTTGCACAAAACTTGAATTCATGGTTCAACTCTTGGGTCTAGGTCATTGAAAGTTAGAATTTTGAAATTGGCTCTATAGCGCCACCTACAACAGCCAATTTAAAAATGCCTATGGGAGGGGTTCGAGGTCAAAATTTTCGTAGAACCATGTAATTTGGTACACATGTTCCTCAAGTCAAGACACGGAAAAAATGTAATTATGGCTGATCCCTCCGACAAACAGGAAGCCCATAAATTTCACTGCAAAATGGAAAAATGAAAACCAATCATTTTCATACACGTCGGTTGGAAAGCGACTCCTCCTCGGCCGTTTCACTGATTGGCCTCAAAATTGTTCCAAATCATCTCAACACATTTACCTTCAAAATGACTTCAGGGATTTTTGATCAGTGAAATGTTGTTTGAGCAGCGGAGCGGCAAAATGTGAGGGTTTTTTTGGCCGTTTTTGACAACATACATTTTTTCCCCGTTTGCACAAACAAAGTCTGATTTGCATTAAACTTGAATCCATTGTTCAACTCCAGGGTTTAGGTCAGGTGAAAGTGAAATATTTGAAATTGGCCCATTAGCGCCCACTAAAGACTGAGTCAAAGTTTACATGGGGAGCCAAACCAGCTCTACTTATCATATTCATTACAATTTGACTAACAATCTTCTATGGCTACGGAAACAAATCAAACACAATCACAATCAGCGTTGTGGAGCGGCGCATTGCAGCTTGGTGCGGGGCGGCGTGAGGCGGGACAGCGTGGTGCAGGGCGGCGTGGTGCGGGGTGGCTTGGTGCGGGGCGGCGTGGAACAGGGTGGTGCGCGCAGTGCGGGGAGTCGCGCGGTGCGGCGAGGGCCGTTCGACGCCGCTTGCGGCTTTAATTATTATTATTATTATTATTATTATTATTATTATTATTATGGACGGACTCTTTCATAATGAGTGAAGTGGGAGGTTAGAAGTCTGTGGTCGCACACAGGACATGAGTTAGTTAGCAGCTGTATGTGTTTGTGTGTGTTTGTGTGTGTTCTGTAGTGTGTTTGTGTGTGTTCTGTAGTGTGTTTGTGTGTGTTCTGTAGTGTTTGTGTGTGTTCTGTAGTGTGTTTGTGTGTGTTCTGTAGTGTGTTTGTGTGTGTTCTGTAGTGTTTGTGTGTGTTTGTGTGTGTTCTGTAGTGTGTTTGTGTGTGTTCTGTAGTGTGTGTGTGTGTGTTCTGTAGTGTGTTTGTTTGTGTTCTGAAGTGTTTGTGTGTGTTTTTATGTGTTCTGTAGTGTGTTTGTGTGTGTTCTGTAGTGTGTTTGTGTGTGTTCTGTAGTGTGTTTGTGTGTGTTCTGTAGTGTTTGTGTGTGTTTTTGTGTGTTCTGTAGTGTGTTTGTGTGTGTTCTGTAGTGTGTGTGTGTGTGTTCTGTAGTGTGTTTGTGTGTGTTCTGTAGTGTTTGTGTGTGTTTTTGTGTGTTCTGTAGTGTGTTTGTGTGTGTTCTGTAGTGTTTGTGTGTGTTCTGTAGTGTGTTTGTGTAGGGTTAGTGAATGTAGAGTGAGATTACAGGAGTTGGAATGACTTGTGTGTGTGTAGTTAAGGTGGAATGATTAGATTATCTTGTTATGTGTAGTAGATTTTAAATATCTATAAAAAAAATAATCTGTCATCATTAAAGGGCCCTAATCTGTCATCGTTAAAGGGACCTAATCTGTTGTCATTAAAGGGCCCTAATCTGTCATCATCAAAGGGCCCTAATCTGTCATCATTAAAGGGCCCTAATCTGTCATCATTAAAGGCCCTAATCTGTCATCATTAAAGGGACCTAATCTGTCGTCATTAAAGGGCCCTAATCTGTAATCATTAAAGGGCCCTAATCTGTCATCATTAAAGGGCCCTAATCTGTCATCATTAAAGGCCCTAATCTGTCATCATTAAAGGCCCTAATCTGTCATCATTAAAGGGCCCTAATCTGTCATCATTAAAGGGCCCTAATCTGTCATCATTAAAGGGACCTAATCTGTCATCATTAAAGGACCCTAATCTGTCATCATTAAAGGGCCCTAATCTGTCATCTCTAAAGGGCCCTAATCTGTCATAATTAAAGGCCCTAATCTGTCATCATTAAAGGGCCCTAATCTGTCATCATTAAAGACCCTAATCTGTCATCATTAAAGGGCCCTAATCTGTCATCATTAAAGGGCCCTAATCTGTCATCATTAAAGGGACCTAATCTGTCGTCATTAAAGGGCCCTAATCTGTCATCATTAAAGGGCCCTAATTTGTCGTCATTAAAGGGCCCTAATCTGTCATCATTAAAGGGCTCTAATCTGTCATCATTAAAGGGACCTAATCTGTCGTCATTAAAGGGCCCTAATCTGTCATCATTTAAGGGCCCTAATCTGTCATCATTAAAGGCCCTAATCTGTCGTCATTAAAGGGCCCTAATCTGTCATCATTAAAGGCCCTAATCTGTCATCATTTAAGGGCCCTAATCTGTCATCATTAAAGGGCCCTAATCTGTCATCATTAAAGGGCCCTAATCTGTCATCATAATAAACCATGGACTTTTCCAATACTTAACTACTGATAACAGTAGTTCAGAGATATTTGAATTTCAGCTGTTATTATCCCAGATGGATTCGTCTGCATATCTGGCAACCTGCGTATCTGCATAGGTTTCCTCCGGGTGCTCCGGTTTCTTGACTCTGGTTTTGTGACTCTGGTCTATGAAGGCGCTATATAAATAAATATTACTTACTCACTACTTACTTACTGATATAGATCTATATTAACCTGACATATTTATTTATTTATTTATTCCATCAGTGAGACTAATGTTGCAGTAAAAAACATGGGAAACTTGTTTTTAGTCTATTTTTTGCCTAAACTGTCACATAGTTTTCCACATGTCTCCATGACGACGAGCAGATGGTGCAGGCCTCACATGGTACCTTTAATGGAGTGGTAATGAGGTGATGAATGTGGTTCCTGGGTCTTCTGTGGTGCAGGTACTCGTTCCAGGACGAGGAGGACATGTTCATGGTGGTGGACCTGCTGCTGGGGGGAGACCTGCGGTACCACCTGCAGCAGAACGTCCCGTTTGGAGAAGACGCCGTCAAACTGTATCTGTGCGAGATGACCCTCGCTCTGGACTATCTGCAGAACCAGAACATCATCCACAGGTCAGAACCAGAACATCATCCACAGGTCAGAACCAGAACATCATCCACAGGTCAGAACCAGAACATCATCCACAGGTCAGAACCAGAACATCATCCACAGGTCAGAACCAGAACATCATCCACAGGTCAGAACCAGAACATCATCCACAGGTCAGAACCAGAACATCATCCACAGGTCAGAACCAGAACATCATCCACAGGTCAGAACCAGAACATCATCCACAGGTCAGAACCAGAACATCATCCACAGGTCAGAACCAGAACATCATCCACAGGTCAGAACCAGAACCAGAACATCATCCACAGTTCTGCCCGTCCGTCCATCGGTCTATCTATCTATCGCTCTCTCTCTCTCTCTCTCTCTCTCTGTCTCTCCCTCTCTCTCTCTCTATCTCTCCCTCTCTCTCTCTTTACCAGTCATGTCAAACTCCGGCCCATGGGCCAGATCCGGCCCACAGTACTGTTTCCAGTGACTGTACAGACACAGTTAGGTTTGCGTCCCTTCCGTCCCGTGACCCAGTCCTGTTTTGGTCTTTAATCATTTACTGTTGTGGACGATGCTAATTAGCACGACTCCAGAACAATACAGTTTCCTGCTAAGTAGCGGTTACGGCGTGTACATATTCACCAATTATGGCACAAATAACACAGCGTTGGTCTAATGAGACGATCCCACGCTCAAAGCAAACTAACGATCTGAAATCACACAGAACATATTCAGATCACGTCCCCTCAGCCCACGCAGGAAACATCTGCAGCTGCTTTAGCCTAGCTCCCTAGCCGAGGCAGCTTCAGACCAAGTTCATTCTCAGCTCACATTAAAAACAGACTGGATCTGAGTTGGCACATTAAAGTGACGGCGTACAGTGTCCATGGTCTAGAGTTGGCACATTAAAGTGACGGCGTACAGTGTCCATGGTCTAGAGTTGGCACATTAAAGTGACGGCGTACAGTGTCCATGGTCTAGACACTGTACGCCGTCTAGTTCATGTTATGATGTCAGGGTCGTGAGCCTAAACCTAAAGGTCAGATGGAAAAGTAGCAGAGGCAAAGAATCCATGAAACAAATAACTAACCTGGTCTTACCTGGTCTTAGCTGGTCTTACCTGGTCGTACCTGGTCTTACCTGGTCTTACCTGGTCTTACCTGGTCTTAGCTGGTCTTACCTGGTCGTACCTGGTCTTACCTGGTCTTACCTGGTCTTAGCTGGTCTTACCTGGTCGTACCTGGTCGTACCTGGTCTTACCTGGTCTTACCTGGTCTTAGCACACCATTGTACTCATTTCATGTTGTACTAAGGTCTGGATTTGCTCCATTGACTCCTTTTGCAGATTGAATCCATTGGATCTGAGTCGCTAGCATTTAGCACTTAGCCTAGCTTTAGCATATAGCCTAGCTTTAGCCATCTCCTTTGTCACTAACGGAGCCCGTGGGGAGTAGAGCCACAACATCTTTGCTTCAATGACATTTACTAAACATTCCTCTTGCTCCGGCTTCAGTTTCTTCATATTTGGATTGAACCAGAACAGATTATTTTACTATCACATTCTCTGACAAACTACAACCAACAAATTCAGCACAAACTCTTGACGTCACCGACACCGACCTACAACACCCGCCTCCCCCGCTCTCTGATTGGTCAGAGGAGATTTAACCGATACGATCTGTCTTTATCATTTACTGAAGCTTCTTATAAACAAACACCAGGGCGGGGTTGACAAGTTAATTTAACTAATGTTCTTTTAGAGAAACCAGCTCGAACTGCCTCCATCTTCAGCACTTGTCATTAAGATGTGTTTGTCGTACTACGCTTTGACGTCTGAAGGATCTTTGTGTGGAATCCAGGGTCTGCCTTTAGCTCTCAGACCTGACACAAAAAGACATTCTTACAATGAGGTTGATTACAATTGTATGAGACAAGATTTGACCGATGACATCCACAGGTGTAAGAAAGAGGTCTTTGACTTTTCTGTGGAATCTTAATCTGGAGTTTTAGTCCTTAGATGTCAAACTCATTTTGGTCGAGGGCCAAGTTTAAAAACACAACAGTTTTGGATTGGATTCAATCACAACTGGAGCAAATATAAAAAGATGTCATTGAAGATTTAAAGTGAAATATAAAGTTATTTGATGCGATTAAAATCCCTAATTTGTCAAAGAGTGATATATTAGTTGTACATATCATAGATATCTTTGGGATCTAATCTCTGGGAGATCACACAGACCAGTGGATGCAGATTCAGACTCATGGCTCTGGCTTCGACCTTTCATTATCACTGTTACACAATGTTCTCTGCACATTGCATCAATCTAATAATTCAGTTTTTTTCCACAAAAATATCACCTCAAGGTTATGTGCTCGGCTTTCAACTCCTCCTCGTGGTTGAATGTAAAATATAGCACAAATTAGAAAATTAAAAATGAACTTGGATTGGTCCCAGAATTCCTTTGTGAGTCAGGACAGAGCCACCGAGTGTTTCCATCCAGGTCTGTCCAGAGAATTTACATCTGCTTTTTGATTTGAACACAGACAGGATTCTGTTTGTGTTTTTTGGACACATCATAAAGTCAAGTATTCGAAACCTCCAACTTCAAACTATTATAATATGATCCATGGATTGACATGTTCCAGCTGGTTCTGAGCCTTAACAAAGAGAGGAGCTGAAACGGGGATAAAAGTGCAAAACGTAGATTAAACAATAACAAGGAAAGAAGGGACGGACATCGCTAATTAGTCTTGGCTTTGAATGTTGCAGTGTTTCACATGTTGAGTGTGTGCACGTGTTCCTGTCAAACTAATCACCACATAAATAAGTACAACATTTAATAAAGATAAGGTGTGAAACATGAGCAGTTCTCCTGCAGTCAGTGAGACATAGATCTGAGTGTCGTCTGCATAGTTATGATAGGAAACTTTGTTTCTGCGTATTAACTGACCTAACGGCAGCATGTAGAGATTGAACAGAAGAGGTCCCAGGATCGACCCCTGTGGGACTCCACAGGTCAGGGCCATATGATCTGAGACACAGTCTCCAATCTCCACAAAGTACTTCCTGTAAGTAAGGTAAGACCTAAACCAACTTAGGGCGGTGCCAGTGACGCCAACCCAGTCCTCTAGTCTCTGTGAGGACCACCCAGTCCTCTGGTCTCTGTGAGGACCACCCAGTCCTCTAGTCTCTGTGAGGACCACCCAGTCCTCTGGTCTCTGTGAGGACCACCCATTCCTCTGGTCTCTGTGAGGACCACCCAGTCCTCTGGTCTCTGTGAGGACCACCCAGTCCTCTGGTCTCTGTGAGGACCACCCAGTCCTCTGGTCTCTGTGAGGACCACCCAGTCCTCTGGTCTCTGTGAGGACCACCCAGTCCTCTGGTCTCTGTGAGGACCACCCAGTCCTCTGGTCTCTGTGGGGACCACCCAGTCCTCTGGTCTCTGTGAGGACCACCCAGTCCTCTGGTCTCTGTGAGGACCACCCAGTCCTCTGGTCTCTGTGAGGACCACCCAGTCCTCTGGTCTCTGTGAGGACCACCCAGTCCTCTGGTCTCTGTGAGGACCACCCAGTCCTCTGGTCTCTGTGAGGACCACCCAGTCCTCTAGTCTCTGTGAGGACCACCCAGTCCTCTGGTCTCTGTGGAGGACCACCCAGTCCTCTGGTCTCTGTGAGGACCACCCAGTCCTCTGGTCTCTGTGAGGACCACCCAGTCCTCTGGTCTCTGTGAGGACCACCCAGTCCTCTGGTCTCTGTGAGGACCACCCAGTCCTCTGGTCTCTGTGAGGACCACCCAGTCCTCTGGTCTCTGTGAGGACCACCCAGTCCTCTGGTCTCTGTGAGGACCACCCAGTCCTCTAGTCTCTGTGAGGACCACCCAGTCCTCTGGTCTCTGTGAGGACTACACAGAGACCAGAGGACTGGATTTCTTCATTAAAAGAAAAAACGTTATTGAACAAAAGAATACATCCTGAGATTAATATCTCATGTGTTGATCTTGTTTTTTAAGACGCACTGCGTGCGTCTGTGTACGTCTGTGTGTGTCTGTGTGTGTCTGTGTGCGTCTGTGTACGTCTGTGTGTGTCTGTGTGTGTCTGTGTGCGTCTGTGTACGTCTGTGTGTGTCTGTGTGTGTCTGTGTGCGTCTGTGTACGTCTGTGTGTGTCTGTGTGCGTCTGTGTACCTCTGTGTGTGTCTGTGTGTCTGTGTGTGTTTGTGTGCGTTTGTGTGCGTTCATCTCTGGCTCCATAGAACCTGTGTCTTGTGTGTTCAGAGACTGTTCTGTAGAGAATGGCCCCGCCTCCTTCTGACATGTTACAGCACGTGTCATTTAAGTTTTGCTTGTGGAGGTTCAGACCCATGAGATCCTGAGTCAGGACTGGACTGGACTGGACTGGACTGGACTGTCTTCTGTGTGCTCTGAGTCTTTTGTGAGATGTTATTTGCGGCCTTCTCCGGGGCTTTGTAGAGGAGGAGACATGGAAGCAGGACCAGAGAGAGTCTTGGAGCCTGTAAAAGGCTGTGGAGCTCAGAACACGGCTGCGTCTGATAAAACTAAACTGTTTTCAGATCCGGCTTCTGTCTGAACGTGTTGTTGGTTGTTGCTGTTTTTAGTCACTGGGATCATTTCTGGCTGTTATTGAATCTATTAGTATTTACGTCCACAAAACTTATTACTGATCAGTAAACGGAAAAATAATCAATTTGAAATCATGTAGAATAATTTTGTTTTTATCTATTTGGATTCACGTCAAACACACACAAAAAGTTATTACTAACATTGACAAATCATACTAAAAAAAGAGAAACCATTTTTCATTCTAACATTTTGAAAGTATGGGGTCGACTCCCAGGAAGCACTGGGCCTTTCTGAGTTTGCATGTTCTCTCAGTGTCTCCCGCTTCCTCCAGGTGCTCTCCAGTTTCCTCCAGGTGCTCCGGTTTCCCCTACCACTACAGACATATACAATAGCTCCACTCTCTCCTGGACTCTCTGCTGGATTTCCAGGTTAATGCAGATATTTATGGGTAAAACTTACATTGAGCGTTTCTTGCTTGACTTTAATGTGTGGTCTGAGGAAGTCTCAAAGGATTAATCTCCACTCTCACATAATCTGTATAATCTGAAGCGACGTCTGTGAAACAAACGTCTCACTACAATATATTTATAGTGTTACTTGAAGCTGCCAAAGCAAATATGATTTAACTCATGAATAATTCAGCAGGCCTGAAACTGAATCTGTCCTCAGAGTGTGGCTGCTCCAACTCCAGCGTGAACAAAAGTCTAATTAAGAAAGACTGCCGCTCGTGACGTGGATAGATTTCAGACCGAGTGCTTTTGTCTCCCGCCGCCTCTCATTTCCAAACCACACATTGTCCACGAAATCAAAAATATCCCCAAAGCATCGGCTAATTCTGAAAACAATCAAAGCTGATCCACAAAAGCGCTCACAAAATCAAGTCCACTTTCTGATTTGGGATAATCTGTTGAAGTGGATTGTTTTTCTGATTATGACAGTAATCTGAAATAATCCAAGAATCACCAGCGCACACAGATACAGTAGTTCACATTTGCTGATTTTCAAGATGCAAACTTTCAAACTGTGAATCTGTCACAGCTTTTACCTGAATATCGGGAGATTTAGTCGAGTGGATTGAGCTCTCTCTGTAGTTATTTCAATTCAATGTATTCTTGTGTTGCCTTAAATCACAACAGTAGTAATCTCGGAAGACTTTGACAACATGGATCAGGGAAGTAAACAGCTCAAACAGATAGAAAACACAGATGTTGATATAGGTTGTTGAATGTATCGTCACCACTGTTCTTTTAGTCAGACCCAGACAATGATCCCACACCCTCCTGCATCGGCGAGGAACGACCCTAAAACCAGTGGGAAAGGTGGGAAACCTCGGGGAAGTCCACATAGAGAGAAGGATCCAGGTCTCAGGCTACACTGCAACATGAAAACCTGCAGCTTATATTCAAGTGTGGCTTCTGCGTGGACAAAATTGACTGTCTTTTAAAATGTCGGTGGTGTGGCTTATATACAGGTGTGCCTTATAGTCCAGAACGTACAGTACGTCACATTTCAGATCATCATTTCTTCTCTCCCAGAATTCCCATTTCTCCAAACCTGCAGAAAAAGAAAACTAGCTCATGTGTAAACTCCCCGTCTCCGTCCGGCATCGTCTCTTTGTGTCTGCAGCGGTCTGTGCATCTTAGAGCTGCCTGGGTTTTTTTTTGACGTGGGAATATACTATACAAATAATTGTGTTGCGCTGCCCGGAGGAGTGGACCCGGCGTCTCCATGGCAACAGTCACCTGATCGAGGCGGTGGTAAAATTAGTCTTGGGATGAAGGGGGTCCCTGTCTGTGCGCTGGTGTTTACGATTCATTTTGTTTATCGCTGACGTCCGGAGACTCTGACAGACGCAGTCACAGTCGGCTGCTCCTCTTCATATCACAAAAAATATGTATATAATAAAATAAGAGGCAGTATGTGTGGCTCTTAATGGTTATAATGACACGACTTACTTTGTCATTTCATGTTGAATAATCTATAACAAATAGTGGGGATCTGTAATTCTCCATGTGTACCACCAGAGGGAGATGTTGCATAAAAGCTTTGTATCTTATTTTCAACCTGAGACAGTGTGCTGAAAATACAGTTGTTTTTATATAATTGTCTTTATTTACATTATAACAAGGTCTGACAACTCAAGACAAAAGAATATGCCCCAAACTACAAAAGTTATACATTGTAAAGAAATACTTAAACCGTTACTCAAAGGAACATCTGCTTCTAAACGCTGCTGAATGTCGTCTTGGGCCTTAGTTTAGTCACATGATGCTGCTCTGTGATTGGCTCTGGGTAAGGTCCGCCTCTCCAGCCCCGCCCTGCAGCAGCTCGTGTTAGCGGGAGGTAAGTGTAGCGTATCCTTCCTGTCCTTGGGGAGGGGGGTGGTCTCTCTACGGGCCCGTTTCTGCGCCGCAGCAACAGCCTGGCGATTTGAGGCTTAATTAAATCAACTGTGAGCTCCGTTAATTGCATGTGGAGTTTGGGAACGTGGCGAGACGTGTGTCGACAGATCTGCAGCCGCCGCAGGGAGAGGAACGAGAAACGCTCTTCTTCTACTGTTCGGAAATACAGCAATCCATCTGCAGTCGCTACGGGGAAAGTTCAATTCATTATTGTGTTTTTCCCTAAATCACAACAGTAGAAAAAACACATCGTAAATATTTAAGTAATTTTTATCTATATAGCGCATTTTACAGACAAAGGTACAGATCCAAAGCTGTTTACAAATGTTCAGATACTGTTCCATTCTCTCCACACGGTGATGCAGAAGAGAGACGCCAAACACACTGGTCCATCAAAGCCTCCGACCAAACACCCGCCATTCACTCATTACATTCAGACCTATTATACATGTTTTTAATGGAAGGGGAAACCGGAGCACCCGGAGGAAACCTACACAGCCACGGGGAGAACATAAAACGACATTAAACTTCCTTCAGAAAGGCCCTGTTCTGACCAGGATTCGAACCCAGGACCTTCTTGCTGAAAAGCGAGAGTGCCTACCATCCACAGTGCCGCCCATGTAGAGATTGATCCACAAGGGACAGAGAACAATGTCCATTAATGGATCCTCACCACATTCCTTTGACCCTCCTGCATCGGCTCAAACCCCAGAGGGAAAACAGGAACCTCAGGGAGGCCCAGATTAAGGAAGGGCCTCGCTCCCACAGACGGACTCTAGGTCCAGGACTCAGGCCGAGGACCGAGGCCACGCATTGCAGGACTGAGGTGGCTCCCTCAATAAAGTATTGAATTGAATTGAATTTTGTGTAATGGGAGGACTTACACAATGGAGGATGACTAAAGACGTATTTCCACAGTTTTATACCATAGACTGTAGATCACATGTGTCAAAGTCAAGGCCTGCGGGCCAAATCCGGCCCGCGAATGAATTTTACATGGCACGTTGCCTGCCATTGACGCACTATTACATCAATTGCGTTTTCCTCTCGTTTCATGTTCCCAGATGTCTATTATATCTAATATGTTTGGGGATAAGCTTGAGAGCATATTGAATCGAGCCAGCAGGTGGCAGCAGCGCTCTCTGAATGGTTTAAAAACAGCTAGATGCACTTGTTCTGCCTCTTTTTTCTCAGATTTTTGGTGATTTCAGTAAAACTTCCCTCTACTCAACTGGGGATTACAAGCTAGAAACAAAATTATTTTTGCTGATGAAAGTAGACAGTCTATTCTTTCAGAATCTGGTTTAGTACACAATATTCTGTGGGTCTTGCAAAATCTATAAAAATTATCAGAAACTGCTGGCACTATGGGAGTACCTGTTCTGAAATAGGCTGGCAGGCAATGAGTTAATAAACATTGAACCAGTCCGGCCCTCGGCTCGCAGAAAATTTGTTTTTTTGGCCCTCTGATGTATTTGACTTTGACATGCCTGCTGTAGATGGACATTGCTCAATCCTTCACTTAATGAAGCCCAACAGGGAAGTGCTCATGGATGAGGTTTGGCTCAGACCGGCTCATATTGACTTACATTGAACTCCTCGAAATCAATAACTGTTTATGTCACACTCACCAATTTGGACTTTAAATAATCCATGGATTAGCAGAGATTCTCTACAAACGTTTGTTTTTCTCTTTGGACGACCATAACATGAAGAGGAAAATCACTGACACCCCCAGACTGGTGTAACGGCTAGCTCAATGCTAGGCAACAGTAGCTCAGTTGGTAGAGCCAGAAGGTCGTGGGTTCGAGCCCACCATAAGACTTTCTCCACCGACTCCCCCTGATGTCTGCTGTGGTTGTGTCATTAGGCAAGACACTTCTGTCAGTGTGCCCCAGGGCAGCTGTGGCTACAGTAGTAGTTTATCACCACTGTGTTTGGAGTGAAAGAATATTGACATGTGAAGCGTCTTTGAGAGTCCAAACAAGCGCTGTATAAAACCAATGCATTATTATTAACATACTTGAATAAAAAATCCTCTGAAGAGCCACACATATACAAAAGTACAAATCCAAGTCACCTGAGTCACTAGTCCTTCAGATGTGACATCACCAAGATGGCGGCTCCTGCTCCAAACACACTGAAGTGAAATCTCTACGATCTATAAATGATGCTAATGTTTGTATTGATCTGTCTTTTCTACAGAGACGTCAAACCAGACAACATCCTCCTGGACGAACAGGGTGAGTCAGAGGACAGTCAGAGGACGGTCAGAGGACAGTCTGAGGACAGTCAGAGGACGGTCAGAGGACAGTCTGAGGACAGTCAGAGGACGGTCAGAGGACAGTGTGAGGACGGTCTGAGGACGGTCTGAGGACGGTCTGAGGACGGTCTGAGGACAGTCTGAGGTCAGTCTGAGGACAGTGTGAGGACAGTCTGAGGACGGTCTGAGGACGGTCTGAGGACGGTCTGAGGACGGTCTGAGGACGGTCTGAGGACGGTCTGAGGACGGTCTGAGGACGGTCTGAGGACGGTCTGAGGACAGTCTGAGGACAGTCTGAGGACAGTCTGAGGACGGTCTGAGGACGGTCTGAGGACGGTCTGAGGACGGTCTGAGGACGGTCTGAGGACAGTCTGAGGACAGTCTGAGGACAGTCTGAGGACAGTCAGAGGACGGTCTGAGGACAGTCTGAGGACGGTCTGAGGACGGTCTGAGGACGGTCTGAGGACGGTCTGAGGACGGTCTGAGGACGGTCTGAGGACGGTCTGAGGACGGTCTGAGGACAGTCTGAGGACAGTCTGAGGACGGTCTGAGGACGGTCTGAGGACGGTCTGAGGACGGTCTGAGGACAGTCTGAGGACAGTCTGAGGACGGTCTGAGGACAGTCTGAGGACAGTCTGAGGACGGTCTGAGGACAGTCTGAGGACGGTTTGAGGACAGTCTGAGGACAGTCTGAGGACAGTCTGAGGACAGTCTGAGGACAGTCTGAGGACGGTCTGAGGACAGTCTGAGGACGGTCTGAGGACGGTCTGAGGACAGTGTGAGGACGGTCTGAGGACAGTCTGAGGACAGTCTGAGGACGGTCTGAGGACAGTCTGAGGACGGTCTGAGGACGGTCTGAGGACAGTGTGAGGACAGTCTGAGGACGGTCTGAGGACGGTCTGAGGACAGTCTGAGGACAGTCTGAGGACAGTCTGAGGACAGTCTGAGGACAGTCAGAGGACGGTCTGAGGACAGTCTGAGGACAGTCTGAGGACAGTCTGAGGACAGTCTGAGGACGGTCTGAGGACGGTCTGAGGACAGTCTGAGGACAGTCTGAGGACAGTCGTAAAGAACGGCTTCAATGGAAACTGGAGGCTTTGGAACAGATGATTTATTTACACAACAATACTTTAGTAACAATACCTCTGAGTACTTTTACTTTTGATTACTTTTCAGTTCTTGATTACTGCATTTAGTGTGATGTTCAGGATGTCTCTACTTAAATAAACACGACTAATGTCATTCTCCTAAGTTTGCCGTGAGAGTGGAACCATCACCTTTGAACTGAGCTAAAATACATCTTTCTTTAAAATGAACAGATCTCACCTTTTCATCGTTATTCTCCACAATCTTTCCCAAAGCTCCTCATTTTCCCCAAACACGTCCATGCAGCAGTTCTGACGTGATCTTAGAGAAACATGGCCGTGATAAAGGACCTGCTCCCCGTTCAACACTAACTCTGACCACAGTGTTTCAGGACAATGACATTTTGAGACAGAGATTTAGACAGATACAGTAGATAGACAGATACAGTATTTGCGAAAGTATTCGGCCCCTTTGAACCTTTCAACATTTCGCCACATTTTAGGCTTCAAACATAAAGATATACAATTTTAATTTTTTGTCATGAATCAACAACAAGTGGGACACAATCGTGAAGTGGAACAAAATTTATTGGATAATTGAAACTTTTTTAACAAATAAAAAACTGAAAAGTGGGGCGTGCAATATTATTGGGCCCCTTTACTTTCAGTGCAGCAAACTCAGTCCAGAAGTTCAGTGAGGATCTTTGAATGATCCAATGTTGTCCTAAATGACTGATGATGATAAATAGAATGCACCTGTGTGTAATCAAGTCTCCGTATAAATGCACCTGCTCTTTGATAGTCTCAGGGTTCTGTTTAAAGCGCAGAGAGAACCATGAAGACAAAGGAACACACCAGGCAGGTCCGAGATACTGTTGTGGAGAAGTTTAAAGCCGGATTTGGATACAAAAAGATTTCCCAAGCTTTAAACATCTCAAGGAGCACTGTGCAAGCAATTATAATGAAATGGAAGGAGTATCAGACCACTGCAAATCTACCAAGACCCGGCCGTCCCTCCAAACTTTCATCTCAAACAAGGAGAAGACTGATCAGAGATGCAGCCAAGAGGCCCATGATCACTCTGGATGAACTGCAGATAACTACAGCTGAGGTGGGAGAGTCTGTCCATAGGACAACAATCAGTCGTGCACTGCACAAATCTGGCCTTTATGGAAGAGTGGCAAGAAGAAAGCCATTTCTCAAAGATATCCATAAAAAGTCTTGTTTAAAGTTTGCCACAAGCCACCTGGGAGACACACCAAACATGTGGAAGAAGGTGCTCTGGTCAGATGAAACCAAAATCAAACTTTTTGGCCACAATGCAAAACGATATGTTTGGCGTAAAAGCAACACAGCTCATCACCCTGAACACACCATCCCCACTGTCAAACATGGTGGTGGCAGCATCATGCTTTGGGCCTGCTTTTCTTCAGCAGGGACAGGGAAGATGGCTAAAATTGATGGGAAGATGGATGGAGCCAAATACAGGACCATTCTGGAAGAAAACCTGTTGGAGTCTGCAAAAGACCTGAGACTGGGACGGAGATTTATCTTCCAACAGGACAATGATCCAAAACATAAAGCCAAATCTACAATGGAATGGTTCACAAATAGACGTATCCAGGTGTTAGAATGGCCAAGTCAAAGTCCAGACCTGAATCCAATCGAGAATCTGTGGAAAGAGCTGAAGACTGCTGTTCACAAACGCTCTCCATCCAACCTCACTGAGC